TCCTACTCTGCACACATGGGGTTGCCATGAGTTGAAATCAATTCCACAGCAACTAACAACTACAGTGTATCTTGGACACTTGCCCTATACTTTTAAAGGCATCAAAAGTGTGTGCCCATGGTTCCTCCCCACAGATGGGTGTCTAGTGTCCCACCATTTCAGATGCTGCTTTGGGTTCCTCTGAAATGGAAACACTCTGAAGGCTCTTTTTTAAAATCAAGATATAATTCATATACCATAAAACACACAGTTTTAAAGTGTACAATTGGTATATTCACAAGGTTGTCCAATCATCACCACTAATTTAAGAACATTTTCATTACCCAAAAAAGAAACCCTGTACCCATTAGCAGTCAGTCCCTATTCCCCCCATTCTCTCTCAGCCCGTAACAACCACTAATCTACTTTGTCTTTATGGATTTGCCTACTCTGGACATTTCATCTAAATGGAATCATACAATATGTATCCTTTGAGTTTGACTTCTTTCACTTAGCATAATGTTTTCAAGGTTCATCCATGTACATGATGCATCAGTACTTCAGTTCTTTATCAGTACTTCATTCCTTTTTACGACTGAATAATATTCGAATGTATGCATATACACTGTATGGATATCTATCCATTCATCGACTGATGGACATTTGAGTTTTTTCCCCCTTTGGGCTATTATGAATAATGCTGCTATGAACATTCATGTATAAATTGGAGGGACATTTGTTTTCATTTCTTTTAGGTATATACCTAGGACAGGAATTGCTGGGCCATGTGGTAACTCTAAAGCTGCCAAACTATTTTCCACGGTGGCTGCACCATTTTACCTTCCCACCAGCAGGGTATAAGGGTGCCAGTTTCTCCACATCTTTGTCAACACTTGTGATTGTCTTTCTTCATTATATCTTGAAGGCTTTCAATGAGATTTTGAGAAATTAAAACACTTTCTCCTAAGAACTCTTAGACAAAAACAGGAGTAGGGGTAGGTGGAGGGTTAGTCTTGGAAGCAGAGACCCTGTGGAAGAAGCCTGGATACCACAGCCTGGGTCTTTGCATGTCTGGGGCAGACTAGGAGGTTTCCTCCTAAGAGACCCTAATTCAGAGTTGTAAAGTGCTTAGAAAGGTGCCTGGCACACAGTGCTAAATAGTTGTTATTATTGTTTCACAGAGGGACAGGCCCAGAGGGGTTAAGCTTCCTGCCCAGACTCTGAAATTAGAATCTGCTGGGGGCGGGATGCAAAACTGAGACCCAAAGGAACATGTCAATTCATAAATATGGAATTAGCTAATGCTATTAGTGAGCAAAACATATCCAGATTGCCTGCAAGTGGCTGCAAAGCTGTGATGGATTTCTCAGCTCTAATCATATGGAAAGGAGCCACAGTGATGCAGTGGCTGAAGCACTCAGATGCCAAGCAAAAACTGGTGGTTGAAACCCACCAGCCGCTCTTTGGGAGAAAGATGCGGCAGCCAAACTCTGTCCTACAGGACCCTATGAGTTGGAATAGACTCTACAGCAGTTTGTTTGGGTTTGGTTTGGATCCATGTGGAAAAGGAGACCTGGTGGCACAATAGTTAAAGCGCTGGGCTGCTAACCAGAAGGTTGCCTTCCATGGGAAAAGGGAGAAAGATGTGTCAACTGGCTTCTGTACAGATTACAGCCCTGGAAATCCTATGAGGCAGTTCTACTTTGTCCTATAGGATCGCTATAAGTCAAAGGCAACAGAGTTTGGTTTTTTTGGTTTGACTCATGGAATTAAAGCTACAATTCTTCTATATCATCCTTCTTTTAGTAACCAGTCAGCAAGTAGGACCCGTCCTTCCTAATTCTGGATCGGGACCTCCTAGGATTGCCTGACAGTGTATCTAGCACGCATGATCAGTCACACCCTTCAACAAGCCTCAGTGAGGTCAGATTAGGTCCGTTTGCCCCAAACCCACGTCCAGCTTCTATCGCTAAGGCCCAAACCACATAGTGGTTGGTGGCAGCGCCCAGCCTCGCCCTTGAGTCTCTGGGTACCCTGTGGCAGTGCTAGACAGGCCTTTCGGGGCGCGGGGCATGCCGTGACCCTCCTGTTGTCGCCCGCAGGGCCCTCCATCCCCACTGGCGGAGATGCACCGGCAGCGACGCGACTCGCTGCGCAGGGCCTGTGAGCGCCACACGCGGCGGCAGCGCCTGCTGCAGCCAGAGGACCTGCGGCACGTGCTGGTGGACGACACGCACGGCCTACTGTACTGCTATGTGCCCAAAGTGGCATGCACCAACTGGAAGCGCGTACTGCTAGCGCTGAGGGGTCACGCCCGCGGCGACCCGAGCGCTATCCCCGCGCACGAGGCGCATGCGCCCGGCCGCCTGCCCTCGCTGGCCGACTTCAGCACTGCGGAGGTGAACCGTCGCCTGCGCGCCTACCTGGCCTTCCTCTTTGTGCGCGAGCCCTTCGAGCGGCTGGCGTCGGCCTACCGCAACAAGTTCACGCGGCCCTACCACGCGGCGTTCCAGAAGCGCTTTGGCACGCGCATCGTGCGCCGCCTGCGGCCCAGTGCGCACCCTGACGCGCTGGCCCGCGGCCACGACGTGCGCTTCGCTGAGTTCCTGGCCTACCTGCTGGACCCGCGCACCCAGCGCGAGGAGCCCTTCAACGAGCACTGGGAGCGTGCCCACGCGCTCTGCCACCCGTGCCGCCTGCGCTACGATGTGGTGGGCAAGTTCGAGACGCTAGCGGAGGACTCCGCTTTCGTGCTAGGCCTGGCGGGCGCGCCGGGGCTGCGCTTCCCCGCTCCGCCCCCAAGGGCCCAGGCGGCTGCCGCACGGGACCGTGCGGCCCGCCTCTTCCGGGACATCAGCCCTTTCTACCAGCGGCGTCTCTTCAACCTCTACAAGATGGACTTCCTCCTCTTCAACTACTCCGCCCCCTCCTACCTGCGGCTGCACTAGCTGCCCGGCGCCCCAAGGCACAGCCGGCTTGGAGGCTGGCCTAGGCTGAGCGGGGAGGAGAATGCGCGTTTCTGACCAACCTCTGGTGATGCTGACGCTTCTGGTCTGGGGACCTCACTTTGAGAACTACAGCACTGGCCCCACCCGGGCTTACGTTACACTTGGTTGGGTTTAGGTGCAGCCCCTCTCAGGTGGCCTTATGCCTGTGTGCTTGTCGTTTGGTGCCTGCTCAGTCTGCATGTTCCAGCTGGCATGCACCTCCCCAGGGCCCCTGGGTGGACCAGGGTTCCATAACCAGATATTTAGGTTGTGAGGGAGGCCTTATTTTGGTCAACTCTGATCTGCTCTTGGTGTAACAGAGCACAACGCTGAGGCTGGCTGAGTGTGGCCTGTGGCCCTTAGCAGCGCCTGCGTCCACCTCCCCATCCTGGCAGGGACAGCACGGGCCAAGGAGAGAAATCCTCCCTTGGCTAGACTTAGGGCACGGCTGTCCCCTTGGGCTGGGCAGGCTCAGGATCCAGCAGCCCTTCATAGAGCAGCCCGTCTATCTCGGGTGTCTACTCTGGGTGTCTGTCTGGGCCGGGTGCCAGGTTGTTGGTGTGTGCTAGCAGAGCCCAGAGTGCAATATGGTGGCAGGTTTTACGAGACTTGGATGAGCTGGGGAGGCCATGTTTATTAAACAAATGCATTATTCTTGACTTTGTGAGTTTCTCTGCTTCATTGTGCCAGCTGCTCTGGGCATGGGGCTGTGCCATCTTGGACAACTCACTGAGTCCCTGAGCCTCATTTTCCTCTGCTGCCAAGTGGCATAATAAGCCCAGGGTGGTTATGAAGATCTGATGAGAGGATGGGTCACCTTCACAGCAGCCCAAAGATGTGAGGGCCTGTACAGGGAGTGGGGGGCGGGGCATGTACGGGTGGTAAATTCTGGCTCCAGGGGCAACAGAGACAACTTGAAGAAAATCTAACCTTTTGCTCTGGCAGGGGCCAGAGAAGCTCAGCCAGGCCTGTGTCTTGTGCTGCCTACCCCGTTAGACGTGTGTGTGTGTGTGAGAGAGAGACAGAGACAGAGAAATAAAAATGCCAGAGCTTTGGAAAGAACAGGGCAGGGCATGCTTTAGTTTTTAAGAACAAAAATCAGAAACAAAACCAAGGAGAGGCAGCTTGGCATGGCACCCTGGTAGTGAGGGCCAGTGGGCCTGGTCACAATACCATGCTGACCTGTGAGTGCAGAGCAGCCAGGGTCTGGCAGCTCAGCTATACACACACACACACACTGTCTCTCTCTCTCTCTCTCACACACACACACACACACACACACACATACAGACACACACACACACACACACACACACACACTAGGCCTTGCTTATGCCATGCCGCTGCCTGCAATGCCCTCTCTTCCCAGTCCAGTCCTAAGACCCCTCCTCCACGGGAACCTGCCTGAGGCCTTCCAGATGCCCCTCAGAACTCTCCCAACGGGCCAGTGTGGGTCAGTGCCAGCCCCTCTGGACCTGGGAAGGGACTGCAGCTGCTGGGCTCCCTGAGGCCTTGCTGCAGCCTAGGTGCCTTACCCCGGCCAGAGGGACACAGGAAACTTGGAACCCTTGGGATCCTTGGGTCCCAGCCCTGAGACAGGCTTGAAGAGCTAGGGGTTGGGTGCCTGTTGATATAGCCAGATGCTCCCCGCCTCTCTCCCACCCCACCCCCACCCCCACCCCAGGCCTCCGTCTCTGTCCTCAGTGCTGTGGTCTCCTCACACTCCCTCAGGTGCTCACACATTGTCACCTGGCCCTGCTCACACACTCGCTCAGACAACCCAGAGACCTTTGTTTTGGGCTCACCACTGATCCCTCAGTGCGTCCCCCACCCCTCTCACTCCCACACTGATGTGACCTGTTGGCTGCAATAGCCCACATGCATCCAGATGTCACACTCAGGTGCAGCGCAATTCCGTGTGCCTTCTCGCTCAGGTTACATCACCTGCTGTCATTACTCGGCTCTTCCTACATTCATACACTTGCCCCACACACTCACACAGCACACGCTTCCTCGTGGGAAGCAGGGACCCCACTCTTACCCTGAATTGAGGTCCTGTGCACGCTGACCCACATGTGGGCAGCTGTGGCTGCTGCATCTGCTCTGGGGGCTCCGCTGCTCCCCCATGGGGAATGCTGCCTGCTCTGGCAGCCCTCTGCCCTGGTTTCCTCTGAGGTTGGCACCAGATGTCTCTGACCGCACATGTCACAGGCTGACCACCCACCCCCGGTCATCAGACTGCCTGAAAGTTCAGCTTGGACACTGTGATGGTTAAGGTTGTGTGTCATCTTGGCTGGACCATGACTCTCAGTGGTTTGGCAGTTATGTAATGATGTAGTCATCCTCCATGATGCAATCTGATGTTATTAGCCAATCAGTTGTAAGGGAGTTTCTTCAGGGATGCGGCCTGCATCCAATAGATATATGGACGTTCTGGGAAAGCTCACTCACTTGCTCTGGATCCTGCGTCTGGCTCATTATCGTCTGACCTCTAGTTGTTGGCACTTGAGCCAGTGGCCTACTGAATGACCTGCCAATCCTGGGTTCATCAGCCTCTGCAGCTACGTGAGTTAAGAGAAGCCTCCAGTCTGATGTCTGACCCATAAACTTGAGACTTGCCAGCCTTCACAACCGCATGAGCCATTTCCTTGAGATAAATCTCTCTCTCTCTCTCTCTGTATATATATATACGCGTACTTCACTGGTTTTACTTCTCTAGAGAACCCAGCTTAAGACAGACATACAGAGCTGAACAAGACAAGAGGGCGCCCCAGGCAGGCTCTGAATTTAGCACACCCTTCAGGCCAACATAAATATTTGTATAAAACTTTCTACTGGGGGAGGAGGAAGGTGATTTTCTGTCAAAACCAAACACCAGTTTCTTGAGGGATTATAACAGGCACTGAATGTAACATGGCAATTGCCTTTTATGTCCCAGCCTCTCAGGTTCCCAGAAGAGATGGTCAGCACCCTCTCCCAGACAGAGGGGACCACTGGAGGATTGAGTTTCAAAGTTCTTTGGTTTTTTCTGGCTTTCATTGTCAGGAAAAATGTTTCCCAGTTTTTTGTAGCTGTGTTTTTGTGTTGCTTTGTGTTCTATTTTGTGGCTTTTTCACCCAGGCAGCTTCCTGATGGGTATATTCCAGGTTTAAAATTCGGCTAAAATAAATCCCTGGTTCCTTGTACGTGGCACTATGTGAGACAGTCTTCAGTTTCTGAATTCAGCTGGCGTATCTGTCAGCTTCCGCAACTGACCAGGAGGTCTTGAGGTGATGGGAAGGCCCAAAGCTGCCCCTCCCAACCCTAACATGTCACCAGCACACTTCCAGAGACTAGTGGGCAGCGTTAGGATGAAGGCGTGGCTGTCTGTGATAGGGCTCAATAGCAGTGCTTTAAACACAATTTCTCTTGTCCAGGGGGAGGGGGTTCAGGACTGTTGGGCGGCTGAGAGCCACTAAGGGCCCAGGCTCCTCCTCTCTTGTTGCTCCCCATCCCTAAGTATTGCCATCTTCCACGTGGTCAAGTAGAGAGCTGGCACATCCACTTTCTGAGCATCAGAATGTTAAAAGGGGAAAATAAAGGCACCCAACCTCCCTTTAAAGACCAACCGTGACTTATATGTTCTGTTTTCATTCATATTCCATGGGCCAGAACCTAGTCTTACTGCTTCACCCATTGCGAGTGAGGCTGGGAAGGAAATTCTAACCCTAATCCATTTCCCTCTGGTATTAGCTGTTTCTGGATGGGACGCCCTGATGGGCTCCCCCTGCAGGCGTCTGCAGGTCTCCTGAGGTCTCCCTCTGACCACAGAGCCTGCCTGGCTTGAGCACAGGGGAGCTGGGCATGCCAGGAAGGAAGCTAACACCCCCTGGCAGCGGCCTTCAACTCATGTCTGATGCAGTTGGTGGATAAATATCCCAACTCTTTTACTCTTCAGGTGTGATACACTGAGGCATGGTCTACACTGTGGTCCTGACTTCCTCGCTGGGACTGAGCTCTTGGTGCCCTAGGGGCAGCCAGATCTACAGCACACTCCTCGTTGGTTTCTTCCCTTCCCTGTCTCCTTTCCCACTTCTCTACTGTGCTTCCTGGGATCTCCTCTCAAATAAGTGGCTTCCCCCACATCCTTGTCTCCAGATCTGTTCCTGAGAACCCAGCTGAGGACAGAGGCTCAACCAGAATCCCATTACAGACATACTGTTTTTATTTCACTGGTCTCCAAACAATAGGCAATTAGGATCCTTCAGATCCTTTACTACCACGATGTCGCAGTGAATACTCATGTATACCCATCATCCTGCAAGTATGAATGACTGTAGGATAAATTCCTAGAAGGGGAATTGTTGAGTCAGATGTTGCAAGCTTTTTAAATTGTTAGATATTGTCACATTGTTCTACAAAGAGTTCCTGCCAATTTATACTCCCATCTACATGTTATGGGGATGCCTGGTGCAAAGAAGAGTTCTGTTTTTAACAAAAACAAGAAGTCATACACAGCCCTCCCCGCTCCCATCACACCCCCTTGACACACAGCTGCATGTTCCTTTGAAGGCTTAAGGCTGACACTGAGATGTGCCTCCCTGTAACTGAGCTCAGAGCCTGGGACGAAGCAAGGCTCCTGATGGCCAACATGATCATTTTTAGTGTTTATGAAACAATTGTTCATAGAGAATGTTGCTAAACCACCACTCTATTGTCAAATACTTTGATGGTTGCCTAGCTCTCTGTAAAGAATTTTGCAATGTGCAGCTTCCTGAAGGGCTGGGGTTTTTTTGTTTTTGTTTTTGTTTTTTTGAGGATATTATGTGCATACAACTGGAGCCCTGGTTGGAGCAGTGGTAAAAGTGCTCACTGCTAAACCACTCCTGTGCAGTCCTCACAATCTTTGCTATGTTTCAGCCTATCGTTGCAACCACTGTGTCAATCGATCTCGTTGAGGGTCTTCCTCTTTTTCGCGGACC